GAACAGTCTGGGAATTAAAGACCAAAATTAAGATTGGAAGCCTTACCCACTATGATTCTACTCCATCTCTTGTTTCCTCTTTGTTTCTGACTCCTGCTTCTTCTTTGTGCCATTCCCCTGCTGATCCCCAGGTGCTTTCGGAAGGAGGAAACCAGTACAGAAAGGATGGGGTGGTCTTGTTGCCTTCTTTATGTATGGTTTCAAAAGAAATCAAATGTTGAGAGTTTCAGTATACAGACAAGGCCAAGACGCTCAGGTTTGGGTTTTCAGAGGCCAAACTGTATCTATCAGTAAGGACTGGGAGATAGATGTGATTCCATGCACAAAATGCTGGGTCAGCTGGCTTGCATCTGGCAAGTATAGGTAGTCCCTGAATAGGAACCTAGGCTCGAATTTAAAATGTACCCATCAGGGTTGAACTAATTTCATCTGACTTTAACTATTTAAAAATTAGCTGCCTGGGTCCCCTCCGTATTGAAGCGTATCAGTAGCCATCTCCAGAAGACAATTCAACCCAACCTACAATCCTGCCATTTACTCCACTGACTAGAGAGAAGACCTACAAACTTAGTTTACAGAATTCAGGTGAAATAATTCTCAAGCTTAAAGTATGCCTCCAATCTCTTTCAAGGACCTAAGACCTTGTTTGTATAAAGCTATCACTTTATAGCAACACAGAATTGTATTTATTTGACTATAGCTCCCAGCTGTTAAGGCACTGGCATTCTTGCAAGATGTGAGAAATTGAAGCAGAGGAGGAATTTTAACTTTGCCTCTCCCATGCTCCAGCAGGATGCTTTTACTCATGCAAAACATGAGTGAGCAGGACAAGTATCTGCCAAAAAAGGCCTGCAAGTAAACCAGGAAGATGAACATGTGAATCTGGCTACAGAGCATGTACGATCTTCAAGACTACACTTGTTCTCTCTGCCTAGCAGCAGAAATGCAGGTTCCTTCAGGGACTTCACTGGACTAAGAAGAAAGAAGTAGAGAACCTAAAGATAGGTCTCGGTTCAAGCTGAGGAGGCTTTAATGTGTAAGTCAATTTAAGATTTAAACACTTCAAACACCAACTAGACATATAAAATCTGCTGCAGACCCAGCCTTCAGCACATTCTAGAATCAATGACATGTTCTGTCATTGATTGTGTATGTAATGGATTATTCTTCTACTGTTATGGTGTAGAATAGAAGTGGAAATTAAGCTTCAAAACTGTAGTAGTTATTAAAATAATTCCCATAAAAGTTACTGGGACTCCACATACATTAAGTCCTTTTTATATCTAGTTATCAGTCTGATACATACCCCTGCATGCATTTGAAGTCTGTAATAAATATTTTTATTTATTTCAATTTACCATTCACAATTGATTTATGATCAGCAGCTTTTAATTTCAGTGAAGTGAAATTTATAAACATAGATTAAAAGAATTGTGGATCAGATAAGATGGAATTGTTCTACATCAACATCACAATAAACTTAACCTGCATACTTGATCTGTGGCTATGTTGCTCTGCAAAACAAGCAAATTAATAAGAATGATAAAATCTAAAAATCTAAATCTAAGAATTATAAAATCTAATAATGATAAAATCTAATGAACAACACTGACCCACACAATATTTGTTTGCTTTTAATATAGAGAAAACTAGCAGCACAACACAGAATACTTGTGTTGAAAACAACAAATAATACCTTTGAAAAAAGGGAGTCATTACTAGCAGTGTCTAGGCATTGTATAGATAGCACCCTTTTTACTAGGTGGAATAGCTAAAAAGACAGAAAGGAATACAGTTTATATCAGTCAAGACCCAGGCAGGAATTAAAATAACCCAAAACATGTAAATTTCAGTGTAGAATACTGCAGCTGTACTCAAGTGGAAAAAAAAATAAAAAAAAAAAAAAAGCAAGATCTGAAACTGTGCTATAACTCTGTCAAAACAGAAGAAAGCCAAAAGCAAACAGGGTTTTTTCAGAACACGTCCACTAACAAAATCCTCATGAGGCAGTGCAAAGCTTGCAACGCTGCTTGCTTCACTTCAGGGTGTATGTAAACAAAGAGCCACTTAAACATCTTCAAAACCATAAAACAAATGCACAGTATCCATACTGCTAAAGTAAGAGAATGTAAACAGTGTGTGATCTATTTTCTGGCAGTACAGCAGCAGTTTGAGAGGAAATGAACTACTGAAAGGTCTTCACCTCTAGAACAAAAGCCAGGTTGATCTGCATTCTCTCAGGTTGTGTTGTGCTTAACAGGTCCTCTATGCAGATTATTCTTCCAGCCAAGCTTTCCAGGAAGAAAGAAAAAACAATTTTTGGTTTGATATGAACATGCTATTTCCTTTTATAATACCCTTGTTTAGGAGTGCATGTACATGGACTTGGGGGTGCTGGTCGATGAGAAAATGAACATGACCCAGCAGTGTGCGCTTGCAGCCCAGAAAGCCAACAGTACCCTGGGCTGCGTCAAAAGGAGTGTGACCAGAAGGTCGAAGGAGACCTCACTTGGAGTATTGTGTACAGTTCTGGTGTCCTCAACATAAAAAGGACATGGAACTGTTGGAACAAGTCCAGAGGAGGGCCCCGAGGATGATCAGGGGCTGGAGCACCTCCCGTATGAAGACAGGCTGAGAAAGTTGGGGCTGTTCAGCCTGGAGAAGAGAAGGCTGCGTGGAGACCTCATAGCAGCCTTCCAGTATCTGAAGGGGGCCTATAGGGATGCTGGGGAGGGAATCTTCATTAGGGACTGTAGTGACAGGACAAGGAGTAATGGGTTAAAACTTAAACAGGGGAAGTTTAGATTGGCTATAAGGAGGAAATTCTTTCCTGTTAGGGTGGTGAGGCACTGGAATAGGTTGCCCAGGGAGGTTGTGAATGCTCCATCCCTGGCAGTGTTCAAGGCCAGGTTGGACGAGGCCTTGGGTAATATGGTTTAGAGCGAGGTGTCCCTGCCCATGGCAAGGTGGTTGGAACTAGATGATTTTAAGGTCCTTTCCAACCCTAACTATTCTATGATTCTATGCAAAATGAATGATGAAGCACCTGATTCTCTGCTCAGTTTTCTGACATGCTTCCTAGGGAAGCTGTCAGATTCCACAACTACAGCTACTGTTAAGAACTCTTACAACAGTATCAGGAAATAATCTAGTTCAAAGTGCTTAAAATCACCTTTTAAATAAGCCACTAACATCCAGAGCATCAGCTAACTTTAAGACAAAGGCGAACAACAGACAGTATAGAATCATAGCATCATAGAATGATCAGGGTTGGAAAGGACTTTAAGGTCATTTAGTTCCAACCCCCCTGACTTGGGCAGGAACGCCTCACATTTGACCATGTCACCTGAGACTCTGTCCAGCCTGGCCTTGAACACTGCCAGGGATGGGGCATTTACCACTTCTTTGGGCAGCCTGTTCCAGTGCCTCACCACCCTCACAGTAAAGAATTTCTTCCTTATATCCAATCTAAACTTCCCCTGTTTAAGTTTTAACCTGTTACCCCTTGTCCTACCACTACAGTCCCTAATGAAGAGTCCATCCCCAGCATCCCTATAGCCCCTCTTCAGACACTGGAAGGGTGCTATGAGGTCTTATCCTGGGTTTAGCAGTAGCAGTCAACTTTTCTCCTTGGTAGCTGGTGCAGCATTGTGTTTTGACTTTCAGCCTGGGAACAGTGCCACTAACACCAATGTTTTTAGTTGTTGCTGGAGTCCTTAATGAAGAGTGTGTGTGTCCCCCCGCATCCCTATAGGCCCCCTTCAGATACTGGAAGGCTGCTATGAGGTCTCCACGTAGCCTTCTCTTCTCCAGGCTGAACAGCCCCAACTTCCTCAGCCTGTCCTAATACGGGAGGTGCTCCAGTCCCCTGATCATCCTCGTGGCCCTCCTCTGGACTTGTTCCAACAGTTCCGTGTCCTTTTTATGTTGAGGACACCAGAACTGTACACAATACTCCAAATGAGATGTCACAAGAGCAGAGTAGAGGGGTAGGATCACCTCCTTTGACCTGCTGGTCATGCTCTTTTGAAGCAGCCCAGGATGCGGTCAGCATTCTCGGCTGCGAGCACATCCTGAAGCCAGCTCTTGCTCAGTTTCTCCTCAACCAGCACTCACAAGTCCTTCTCCTCAGGGCTGCTCTGAATCTCTTCTCTGCCCAACCTGTAGCTGTGCCTGGGATTGTCCTAGGATTGTAGGACCTTGCACTTGGCTTGGGTGAACTTCATGAGGTTGGAATTGGCCACCTCTCAAGTGCATCAAGGTCCCTCTAAATGCCATCCCTTCCCTTCAGTGTTATCAACCAAACCACTTAGATTAATGAGATCAGCAAAACTGCTGAGGGCACAGTCAATCCCACCGTTCGTATCGCCAACAAAGATGTTGAACAGGATTGGTCCCAATACTGACCCCTGAGGGACACCTCTCATCACCATTCTCTGCGTAAACACTGAGCCATTGACCACAACTTTCTGTGTGCAGCCATCCAGCCAATTCTTTATCCACAAGGTGGTCCATTTTCAAATTTATATCTCTGCAATTTAAAGACAAGTAATAGTATCAGTAATAGCTTACTATTTGTTGCATTAAAATCCTGATGGATCATGCTATATTTCCTTCTGCAGAGCTTGTGGTGGTAGATCATCACCTTTGATGATCTACCTTTGAAGTAAGCTCTTACAGATGTGAAGGGAACCTCCTGCATATACTAAACATGTGTATTTAAAGCTCTTTTTGCTTCCTATAGTTATTTCCACAGAGCATTTAGTGATTCACCTACCACGTAAGATTGTTCTACCTCAAATTTTAGCTACAACACAAGCTTATAAAAACTACATTCAAAATTGTGTTTACTGGGTCTAGTTTTCTGGGTATGTACCTGACAGGACTGGTTTTAAGTCAGGGCACTTTTAATTCATACTGCTTGATCAGCCCTGCAGCTAATATATTACAACTCCCGTATATACACAGGAGATCACCTTGTTATACAAAGTTCTGTAATCTTTTGGACTCTTCAATGTAATTTATTCTTTTAACACAACAGCTCTTCTTCAGTTGTTCTAATTAAAACCACAGCAAGTAATTTTCTCTTCCTGGGTTCTTCTGGTCTGACAGTTCTCCAGTAACTTTAAAAGAGGATTTTCATGATACCTCTCAAGATGGATACAGCAATATCGGATCACTGTGTTAAAGCTCTTTCAAGTATCTCTGCAAACACTGTGAAGGAACTGTGCAAGTGGGATTGTGAGGGGATGGTTCCTGCTGTTTTTATCGCAGACACTATCTCTAGTGTACCAGCCTGGTTTGCAGCTGCTGGTCATAAATTTCACTACACAGCTTATATAGCAGAGGAGAAACAAGCATCTACAAGGAAGTGTAATGATTATGCTCAGCACATTCCTATCCAGTAAGTGATGGTTAATGAGACAAACTGGGGCTTTATTTACAGATTCCCTGTCCTGTATGTAGATCACATCCCAAATTTATCTGCAGTCTACCAGGGGTCACTAACACCACATTATAGATGTTCCTCAACAAAGAAGGCAACTTTATTCTTCTTTCATAATAATTTAAAGTATTTACAAGCTGCTCAGCCATTCTTTTACACAAACATATACTTACTGGTATATTCATGAACCACATCTAAAAGGTCTGGCAAAGACTGATGCATTGTGGGGTTTCCAAGCATGAAAACTATGTGTAGCCTTCTACAACACAGACATTTGGAGAACCTGTGGAAAAAAAAAGTGTTCCTCTAAGCTTAAGCTATCTCCAGAGACCATTCACTAGCTTCAAAATGACCACGTTTGGCATTAACTAAAGCTCTCTTAAAGACTTCAAGAATGAACATGTGCAAATAACATTTTCTCAAGAAATCCCACAGCAGGAACAAGAAAATTGAAAATTCTTTCTGGGAATTATCACAGTTCCAAAATACTATTTATCTGAGAAGCTAACAACTCAATGCTAATATAAATATATACATAGCATACACATGTATATACATACAGGATCCAGGAAAAGAAGAAGTTAACTAGTATATGGTGCCTGCCCAGTAAGTATGTGCACCATTGGAAGCAACACGAGGTGCATCCACTAGTTTTCAGCCATGAGAACTCTAAATTCAGAGCACTGAAGAGGAAGTTCTTGCACATAAAAGAGGGAGAAGCCTGTCAGCATTATGTGAAGGTGCAGGGGCCACATTATCCACAAGTCTAACTCATCTGAAGCAGCATCATCAGACATAATAAGCTGTAAATAAAAAAGTCTAAAATAAAGATTTACCTTCAGCCTTTCCCTGACTACTTTCATCTCAGGTATTCCCAGAGTAACATCTGTATGCAGTTACCCATCCAGACAGAGAATTAATTAGTTTCTTTGAGAAGACTGCTGATGGCCTTAACAGTCAACAGTCCCTAACCTAGCAAGTCTTCATAAAAAATAGGAGCTTTAATTCTGTAAATAAACTCCATCTCCCTCCAACCAAGGCAAACACTAGACCAAGTTTACCAAACAAAGGCAAGAGCTATCTGAGTCTTATTCAGGTAATACTTCTAATGTACCTGTCCAGTCTCCGATGAACAGTTTCTAAAGAATGAAATAAATATGTCTTGGAGCTGGGTTTACCGTAGAATGAATTAAAACTTCCACTCCTTGCAGCAGATTAAGGCATTCAGGCCACCAAATCTCATTCTCCTCCTAGCTCTTCAGTGGAATTAGTCAGAGCCTGCAGCCTCACTGCCCTTCTCCTTCTGAATGTATAGATAAGATTAGCACCTAAGTAACAGGCAGATTTCAGACTTGCGCTTTCTCCAGTTCATCTTAGAGAATGACCACCCTTGAGGTTACGGACAGCTGCGACAGTTTCATTACAAGTCTCGCTTTCTTTTCTTCTTTTGAAACTCATGCCATGAAACTAGGAAATGTCAGAATTACAAAGAAGATTCTGTAATTCAGGTTATCAAAGATTGTCATTTGAGCTAATGGGAAGCATTTTACTCTCTCCCTCCAAAGACAGGATAGCCATTTGCTCGAGAGACAGAATACAATTCCATTCTTAATGATTTTAACTAGCAAGCCCAGCAAATCACCAATGCCATTACAGAACAAGAGACATACTGTCTCTGGAGTAAGAGAAATGATAGAAAAACCCCACAAACTAATTCCATTAAAAAATTGTGTTAAACTAAGTAGTACTTAGAGGTAGCACTGAGCGTTGTATGCACATATTTATATGTATAATACATACTCAGACACACATAAATATGTAATATATAAAAAAATAAAGTGCTTTCTATCAGGACCCAATGCAGGGACATTATAAAATATTTCATCAATTGCAAAACAGATACAAAGAACACTACAGCAATCACACATGAAAATATTTAACACAGTATGTACAATCTGGTGGGTGTCCCAAAACAAAACATCTCTTCATATACATGGTATATACATATATACTCATATTTAGTCAATATATTATGACAATATATATATTTCAAAACTTTGTTATAGACAAAAAAGCCCTACAAAAACACAACAAGGATCAAGCACAGAAGTCCAAGACCAACGGAGAATTTGTTACCCTTGTCCACACCCCCACCTTCACTGTTGAGAAAGATATGCCAGTGCTCTTTTCTAGGGTGCAGTGACTCCACATCCTGCAAAGCACTGTGAGCAGCAGCTGTGAAGTTAGCATCACCAGTGGTGAGCAGATCAAATACACATGAGTAAAAATATAAGTCCTTCAGCAGCATCTTCTCATGGCATTTAGTCGTGGCAGTTTCCAGTGTGTACACTGACTGGGGACGAGCAGAACCACGCTGAGGGACCAAGTGACCCACCACAGGCAATGGTAAGTGGCCATTATCATCAATACGTTCACTTGAAGGGCAACCATTCACACACAGCTGCAGATCCTGGCTCTCCTTATGGTCCATAACCACCTCTTCAGGCATGCGAATGGCCAGTGTTAGGTAGTGCCCAAGCTGGCGTATATACACTGTGGTTCCAATGTACCTGGCATGCATTTCAACGTATTTGCCACTGACTTTCTCCACAATTCGCAAGCTCTTGGTGCTCCCATCACCTCCACTTGTTGTACCATCAACAAAAGCTGCAGGCAAGTCATCAGTCACTGCTTGATATACTTTCTGATCTGTGCAGTCTTCATATGATTTAAAGATAATAGTTATCTGGGAGGTGAGGGCAGGAGGGGAGGTAGAGAAAAAGAAAAAGGCAAAGTTAGTAGAAAAAAAACCAAACTTATTTCAATCCCTTTTCCATTTTGCAACCAAACATATCTGGGACCACCCACTGCCTCAGAGCTTGACAGCTGTCCCCAACTCATACCTACAGGAAAATAGTCAGTATATATGCTTGAAGCTACGTTTTACAAGATAGCAATTATTAAATCATAGAATCATAGAACAGTTCGGGCTGGAAGCGACCTTAAAGATGAGCTAGTTCCACTGCCACAGGCAGGGACACCTTCCACTAGACCAGGTAGCTCCAGGCACCGTCCAATGGGGCCTTGAACACTGCCAGGGATGGGGCAGGCATAGCTTCTCTGGGCAACCTGTGCCAGGGCCTCAGCACCCTCACAGGGAAGAACTTCTTCCCAAGACCTCATCTCAATCTCCACTCTGTCAGGTTAAAGCCATTCCCCCTTGTCCTGTCCCTACAGGCCCCTGTAAAAAGTCCTTCTCCAGGTTTCTTGTAGGCCCTGTTTAGGTATTGAATGGCTACTATAAGGTGTCCCCTTGAGCATTCTCTCCTACAGCCTGAACCTGTTGGTCTTAGGTTGGCTTGGAAGTAAGACTACTAGCATGTGGCAACAGCCACAAGGTCAGGAAAGGAAAAGGCATTCTATTCAATTAAGCATCACAATTCCCTCCTGCCTGATGGTTTCTTAACGCTTTGGAATGCATACTGCAGTCACAGAGAAGCTAACTATTAAGTAATTCCAACAATGCGAGGTGGCCACTATGGCAAAATCAGAATGAGACTCTGCAAAATCACAGCTTTCCCCACTCACAATATTTTCATCACTCCATTCACAGTGACTGTATCACCTTTGCTGGGTATACATGTTGTGGTACACTTGTTGCATGTGTTGCAGGATTAGCTGTGCAAGACTACTTTAAAGGCACTTATGTATTTAGTGCTTTATCAGCCAGGAACACAGCAGGCAGTGAGACGTCAGATACATGACCAAGAACAACAACTAGTCAAATAACTGTTTAAGGCTCCTGAATCCATTTGTCCCAGGAACTGGCAGATTTCACACTTACAACCCACTCTTGCTAGAAAATATGCCCACGGAGAGACAAAGCAAGATTGAAAAACATGCCTCTGAAGACTGACTTCCAATACAGAAAATCAGGAGCATAAAGCAGTTACTCATTCTTTTAAGATTATGACTGGCCTTTTCAACCTTTAGATTTCTTCGAATAAGCCACAACAGAAAGAGTAGGTCCTCCAGTCTTACTTGAAGGGAATCATTAAGCTGCTTGGCAGACAAAGTTTGTAGAGTCTAATGGCTTTTTCTAAAATAAAAGTATAATGAGGAATCACATAGAATCATACAATCATAGAACAGTTAGGGTTGGAAAAGACCTTAAGATCGTCAAGTTCCAGCCCCCCTGACATGGGCAGGGGCACCTCATACTAAAGCATACCACCCAAGGCTCTGTCCAACCTGGCCTTGAACACCACCAGGGATGGAGCATGCACAACCTCCCTGGGCAACCCATTCCAGTGCCTCACCACCCTCACAGTAAAGAACTTCTTCCTTATATCCAATCTAAGCTTCCCCTGTTTAAGTTTTAACCCATTACCCCTTGTCCTGTCACTATAGTCCTTAATGAATATTCCATCCCCAGCACCCTATAGCCCCCTTCAGATACTGGAAGGTTGCTATGGGGTCACCATACAGCCTTCTCTTCTCCAGGCTGAACAGACCCAACTTTCTCAGCCTGTCTTCATATGGGAGCTGTTTCAGTCCCCTGATCATCCTTGTGGCCCTCCCTTGGACTTGTTCCAACAGTTTCATGTCCTTTTTATGTTGAGGACACCAGAACTGCACACAATACTCCAAGTGAGGTCTCACAAGAGCAGAGTAAGGGGCAGGATCACCTCCTTTGACCTGCTGGTCACACTCCTTTTGATGCAGCCCAGGATATGGTTGTCTTTCTGGGCTGTGAGTGCACACTGAAGCCAGCTCATGTTCATTCTCTCACCAACCAACACCCCCAAGTCCTACTCCTCAGGGCTGCTCTGAATCTCTTCTCTGCCCAGCCTGTAGCTGTGCCTGGGATTGCTCCGACCCAGGTGTAGGACCTTGCACTTGGCATGGTTAAACTTCATAAGGCTGCCATCAGCCCACCTTACAAGCATGTCAAGGTCCTTCTGGATGGCATTCCTTCCCTCCAGTGTGTCAACCAAACCACACAGCTTGGTGTCATCAGGAAACTTGCTGAGGGCGCACTCAATCCCACTGTCCATGTCACCAACAAAGATAAATAAATACTGGAAACAGGTATGCTACTTCCTTTACAGTTTCAGAGGGGAGCGACTCCTTGAAATGGTGAGAGAGAATTTTGTAGCAGAAATAGGTGTTTTAGTCATTATTTTCATCACTGACTGATCAAAATTACTTGCAGTATACAATTTAATCAATCTGCTAAAAGATTTAGAGTACTCCAAAACATATTAGAACGCATTTTCAATTTAATATTAAACTTTTGCCTTGATATCTACTCTATAGTAACTTCAGTTAACCAGCACACTTCTGCACAACTTTTGTTTACTGCCCGTCTGCTCTGAAGTAGAAGCTAGAATTTAAGCAAACAGCTCATTCTAGAAATTCTGAATAAAACCTTTACCCTCCTCAGCCTCACCTCTCCATAGCAGATGTGCAAGACAAAAAGTCTTTCTATCTCCCTCTTTCCACTTCAACAGTTTCTCCTCTGGAATACACAGACACACTCTAAACAGCATATTGTTAGCTTTCAATATTTGGTTTGTCCCAGTTTTTTGATGCTGTCAGTTTTTCTGTCTCTCACACACACACGATGTTATTTTGATGTAAGCATGTGCCCACTTGTGCTGTCTGACTAGAATCTTCCATTTTTTTCTTTGTTTTAATCAGTATATAGCTAGCTTGAGATCACATGTACTCAAGCAGCTTGGTGAACTGATCTCTGTGGACCACAACTAAGCTTGAATGTCTATGCCCAAAAATCGAGAAAATGCACAAGTGCCCTCGTTCCTCTAAAGACCACCTCACAACTCTATGCTTAGTGATGTAATCTCAGCAACCCTGGGAAGAGAAACCTGAAATCTGTCAAGTGATTATTATTCCTGCATATAATCCAAATCCTGATGCAGTAAATTAGGACAGTTTTGAGGAAACAGACTTTTATCTCAGCCTGCTCAAAGAAGTATTCCTGATTCCTCAATAACATTTTCATTGCTCTGCAAGGAAAGAATAGTTTAAATTTTAACAGAAGCAAAGCTCTAAGTCTGCTTAGCCCCTGAGCAGCTCTGGAGTCAAAAAGAGGTAATGGTTTTAATGAGACACAGCACTGGCTACTTCATAAAACAGTTAAAACAAGGCACATAACAAAACTTATCAGGAAGCAGCCACCAATCTATTCTCTCCAAAGCTCCCTCCTCTGCAAGAACAAAATGCACACAGTTTCAGAGACAGAGGGAGAACAGAAGCCTTCACTGTAAGAAAAGAATAGCAATAACATTGCATGCTGAATGAGGGCTAAATGACTTAGTAGAGTGAAGGCCTCCACATACTTTGCAAAATGCTCCAGATAATCAACAGAGACCATTAAGACTTTCCAAAGACATATTCATATTTAAACACTGCTGCTCGAGACACTAGATTTCAATATTGTGTTTTCTCCTATGTGACATCCATCTAATACATCTAAGAACAGATCAGTAAAAGCAGAGTTCTGTAAGGTCGTTTTACTACTCACTCCTGCCTCAGTCTTGCACCCTGGTACTGACGGATACTCAACAGCTTGTTGCAAAAGGATATGAAGCAAATTTCATGGCAAAGCTTTCACTGTTTAAGTTGTCAAGGTAAAATAAAGCATTAAATAGTGAAAAAGGTTATTTCAAACAAATGTAACATGTCTAATATACGTACATATACCTATAGTGCTTTCTGTAGTGTTCTTCTCTGGCTGGGTTTTAAGAACACCCCTGCAAAGCTGCTCATGCGTCACTGTTTATGGACTAGAAATGAGCCTTTCTAAACCTAGTGCAGGCAAATCCAAATGCCAGAGTCTTTAGATGTAGAAAGGATAGGATACGTTTTAAAGTAACAGTGTCTGAACCTTGTTCTCACATACAAAGCTCTTAAGCTACTGCAGCGAGGAACCTTAAAAGATGAAAACGAAATGAGGAGACATATACCAGCATAACATGCTATCATAGTCAATCATTTTCAGAACATGGCTAAGAGTAAGATCAATACCTACCTATTACAATCAGACACCAGCCACCCACACAATTCATACACAAAATGACTCTCAACTTTCTCCTCCAGTACTACCAGTAACAGGAAATGAAGAACATTCCACAGGACTTTTAGCAAAACTGAGAATAAAAGTGTACTGCAGATTATGAAATGCAGCATTTTCTTGTGCTTATTTAAGAAGCCACAGGAGCAGATTTCAATGGACCCAAGTCTGTTTTGCAAAGCTCACTCAGGTTAGCCTCATTCTCTTCATTTGGTATTCCTTCAGATGTCATTCACAATGCAGACTCTTCTTGGAAGAGGCACAGGTTGGGAAAAGGCAATTCTGAATTTCAGTAATCTATCAGTCCAGCCTCTGACAAATGCAAAAAATTACCTAACTCATAAAAACATTGACATTAGTCAGTACCTCTGAAACCAGCATGAATGAAACAACAAAACTGATTTTCAATTATCACTGCACAGTCATCTCCCTGGAAGATGTGCAAGCTCTAACCTACTGTGACCAGCACCCTCTGTTCCTGACCCAGCCAAAAAAAAAAAAAAAAACAGGGGAAAAAAAAAAAAGGAATAAAACCAAACCAAAACCCAACCTACTTCTGAGCTTAACAAAACAGTGAAAATTCTCAAATATTGATGGTCTTCAAACTGTGTTCACATAACATGACCTACCTTGTGAATGCCAGAGCTACACTCCCACAGTTACAAAAAGGCCATTTCACTCCAAAAAGGGAACAAGATATATGACAACATCAGCTTCAACTGCATGTTCAAGTAATTTCTTTTACTTACAGAAAGATGCCCCCAAAAGTTCAGAGCATTTTTCAGACCTAGAGGAAAAATCTAAGGACATCTTAGCCAGGCACATGCTTTACACTGCCTTATTTCTTTCAAAAAGACACACTTGCTATCTGCCTTCAGCAGAAGGAGACAAGTACTTTTCTTAAGGTAAGGAAACGGTACAAGTCATCAATACTAGAAATAGGTATTACTCCTCTAGCCACCTCAAGTGGCTGAGAGGAGTAATGTTAAAACTTGCCAGTCTGAACAGGGACACTCTGAGCATAATTTTCAGGCTGCTGCTTCTTTAGTAAACCCAAGATACTAAATGTTCTGACAACCATTTTTCATCAACGTAATTTTTTTGTTGCCTGCTCTCAATTCTCAGCAGTTCCCCTTCTTGTCTCTTCTCTGAGCCCTCAGTGTCTTGGTAACTCATCTGTTGTACTGCTCAGTATTTTTTGTTTTCTACCTTTACAGCTACACAATTTAGAGAATTAATGAAAAGCAAAGACTTACACTCTTTCCTTCCTCCTTGCCTGATACTTCTACATAGTGCAGAGGCAGTCACAGATGCTGCAATCCAAGAGCTGTTTTAAAGCATTACAATGCTAAATGTAAAGGCTTAAATGTAAATATTACAGGCTTATGTTGTGATATGTACAGGATTTGCTTGTGCTGGGGAGGAGCATAAAGAAGAAAGTGACTCATTTTAAGTTTTCATTTTCAGAAGGGACTAATAGTTTTACTTTTTTAGACTACTGCATTGAAGATTCTCAAGCTGCTACGCTTCTTAACTGTTAAGGGCTAAGCGACTTACTCTACTGCCTAGGTCCTTCACTTCAGCATGCATGCATAGTGCTTAAGAACAATTCATACCTTATTTGTAGCAGTAGCACTGGATCCTGCTACCACAGGCACATTGGTCACTTGCACTGATAAGTAGTTATTGTCTATGAGAGGCCAAGCACCTTCCACTTTGCACGTCTGGAAGTGATCCTTAAAAGTTCTCAGATGAGGATCACCAAACAAGCCACAAAATAGGTAAGTAGGGGGAGCAGTCTTCTCCCCACCCTGATGTTCTCTGGCTTCTGGGTGGCCACTGTAATTGCAGGGATCATGGGCTTCTTCAGGGTTGCTGGGCAATGTGGGTCCATCTTTGGAACAGTTTCTCTGGCTCATGAGGTCACTGATCCCAAGCACTGCAGAATGATAAACTAGGTTTCCACGGCATGCTTTGGAATTGCGATAGGTACAGGCAGAGTATGCTCGCAGGGCCTTGCAGAACTCCAAATCAAAGCTCTGAAGAGCTGAGTTTAGATGTGAAGTTAAGGACACAAAATCAGTGGTGCACTTCTGGATTCGACAAGGTGTTTGCAGCTGGCCATCACCTAAGCACAAAACGAACGGCAGAAAGAAATCAAGCAAACCTCTTAGATTGCAATACCCCATGACATACCCACAGGTACTGTAGAAAACAACCTGAAAACCACTTACAGTGCTCATTCATTAATGAAACACCATATAATAGAGAAAAAGGGGTTGAGAGGCAGAAAGATAGCAATACAGACCATCTCAATGGCTGAGATGACCCATGCATGACTTAACTGTTACTTGATATTGTCTAGATGGAAACTGAAGGCACTAGCTCCTGCCAAGCAAGAGCCCAGCATTTCTTTCCAGATATCAAGGTAATGATGCAATTCTGTGCTTAAGTTAATTGCTTAGTCAATAAGCAAGCCTCCATTTTGTCTTTCGGTGCTTTGCACAAGTTACTCAACTTTTAAAGAGAATCCTGCTCCTCTGAAGAACATGGTAAAGGCAGCAAGCGATACACATTCAGACAAAACCGGATTGAATGAACCAAAGTTTCTTTTCTACAAAGCAAGGGGAGGGGGAAGGATGGCAGGGAAGCAGGCAGGCCATAAATTAAGTTTGCTTTATTTCCCTGGCATTGCCATAGCCGTAAGCTTCACTCCTCACCTTCTGCAACTTATGAACAAGAAAACCCACAGCTGTCTGAAGTGCATATTGCCAGCTAAGGAATCCATACACTGCAATAGCAGTATGTCTTACAGGGCAATTCAATAATAAGATTAGGAGCAAAGAAACTCTCCCTACAAAAACCTTTACTACTTATCGGATGTGCACAACAGGTACACACTTTAGTTTACATGAACAAACCAGTTATACCTTATCTGGTCAGCTGATTCCCACAAAAAAGGCATAATTACCATCCCAGCAAGCAAACTGGAGTTTTACAGCCCTCTCCTCCACAGCTCTCATTGTCATGAACTGAAATCCTTCCAGATTTTCACTGGCAGTTATCAGTCTTCTGCAGGTAATTTCTACACAAGAAGGAGCAGAAACAAATGAGACTGCACCCTGCACTGAGGAAACAACAGCCACATGTTTCACAGGGGTAAAATTAGGAGTACCCCAGTCAAATGAGAGATCATGTTCCTTCCCATCCAAAGACCTGAGAACAGCTTTAGCAGAAAATGGACCTTCATGAAAAGTATGTGCAAGACTTCATCCAATAGCATGGGGGATGACGAGACTAATCAAATTCTGGTTTTCAGATACACAAATAAAAAAAAACCCTGTGCCTAGCAAAACACTCGAAATATCCACTAGAAAAATGCTGCACTTATCTGTTATTTTATAAGCTATAAAATTCAGTTGTGCATATATTAATGTATAATTCCTAACTGTCATAAAGCAGATTTTGAACACCACAAAAATGCTTACAAAGATACATGAAAATATCTTTGGGATAATTGGGATACTTAATAGAGAAAATACCTAACAGATACTCTTTTCCCTCCTCTCAAACCCTTTTTTTACTTTTCCCACTTGCTTTGTGAGTCCTCTAAGTAAAACAGGCATGCGTCCAGCCTGATTTCCGTCTCAGCAGCCTACTTGAAAGTATTCCTGAACTCCTGAGACACCAGGAGTGGAAAACGGACTGAACAGTAATGTAGCACTTCTCATTTTTAGTTACTTTCTGCAGTTCCCAGTGATGAAAGGTTAGATACTAGCAATTTCTTTGCTTCCCCCTTAGCTGACCCTCTTGTGACTCAGCACTCACACGACTTACTCTGAATATCTAAACCATGAATTTAAGGGCAACATGTTGTGCCAGCGATGCGTAGCTAACACAGATCTCCCACCAAAATCCCAAGACAACACAGAGTAGAAGGAGGAAGGCTCTAGCCTAAAGCCAAGCAAGACCGTGAATGAACAAGCAATGTTTCTCACTTCATCTTTGCTCAAGTGACATGTAGCCTTGCAAAAGAACAGGGTGGGGTGGGGGGAATAATCAAATTCTGATTTTCAGATACACAAACAAAAAAACCCATGCCAAGCAAAATGACACAGGCAACACTGGTCAGGAGCCTGATTGTCAAAGCATCAAAACTTCGTGTATTTCCTTTCAGTTATGATTTGTGGTAGTATTTTAATCACATACAAGTCTAGCTGAGCAAGTCAGTCAAGTTATTAAATTGTCTAATAAATCTGTTCCTGCACACTCCTTGCAACTTTAGGAAATCTGCTTGCTGCTTTCAGTACGCTCTTGGTACAGAGGGGGGTGAATGAACAGCGACTTGATTAAATGGGATGCCTTCTCCTTAGAATTTATTCATTAAGACTATAAATATATAAAAGAGCTCAAGTTAGAGAAAAACATTTTCACAGAACTACAACTTTCCAGATCACTTCCGAGTTGAAAGCAGAGACCACTTTAGCAAGCACCTCCAGTGTGCGGAGCAACTTCCACCTCCTTCCCAAGGTTTCCAGTCTGCCAGGCAAACGCTGGCTCCACCTGAAGAAAAAAGCAACAGCGGTTCCCTGTGTCCTGAGGCAGGCCGCCGCACAGCCCGGCTTCGCTCCCATCACTTCCAGCGCTGCTTTCCCCCTCCCACCCGCAAGCTGCCCCGAGCCCCAGTACCTGAGCCCAGCAGTGGCCCCAGGGAGGCGAGAAGACAGACGGCGGCGAGCGATGTGCGGCGCTGCGGCTCAGTACAGGCGGCACGGGAAGGCCCAGCTCTCCCCATGCCCATCCATGCAGGTCCCCAGACTGGCGGCGTGACGGGACCGTGGCATGAGGCGGCAGGCGAGCAACCTCCTCCTTGCGGCTTCCTCTTCTTTCTTCAAAGGCGCGGCGACGGGGGGAGGCTGCCGGCACACAGCGGGGCGGGCGCGGGGCTGCACGGCATGGCTGCAGAAAAAGACGCGCACAAAGGCAAGGAACCGGTGAGGGGGCGAAGGAGGCGGTGAAGGAGGCGGTGAAGGAGGCGGTGAAGGAAGGAGGGGGCGAAGGAGGGGGCAAACGCGGGTGCGACTGCGGCATCCCCGAATAGCCCACCGACTTCCCGCATACTGTGCCCGCCCCCCACGACTCTCCACCCCTCTAGGGCCTCCTCCTCCCATTGACTGTCCGGCCCGCCCGACAAGCCCCAAGACGGCTCTGGCCCTGCCTGCTGCCCGGCGGGGCGCTGCACAGTAAGCCACTCACCCGACCCCGTCCAGCCGGATGCGGCCGCGCTTCCTGCCAACCGCGGCGGCGCCCAGGGGCGGGCCCCGAGGAGGGGATTGGCTGAGCCAGCAACAGGAGTGGCGGGAGGGGCTGCGGGGCTACGTGGAGCCGCCGGCGGTAGCGCACAGGCGGGCCAGGTGCAGGTGGGGGTCTTCCGGTGGCAGGGCCGGGTAGAACCGCAGCTGGAGCGAGGCACGAGTAGAGCTTCCTGCAGACTGACCCGTCCCAGCACGAGCCATATTTACGGGTACACCGCCTTTCTCTGCGTCCGGCCATTCATAGGGTAGAAGACCCAACACCACCGGTCAGAGGTCACTCGCCCAAGGCACACTTTAGAATGTTCACCGCAGAATGGTTGGGGCTTGAAGGGCTCTTTAAAGCTCATCCGGTTCCAGCCACCTGCCACGGACAGGGACACCTTCCACTAGCCCAGGTTGCTCCAAGCCCCATCCAACTTCAATGGCTAAAGCCATTTACCTGAATTATTTGTGGACAAAAACTGACAGGAATTTCATTAGATCAAATAAGGCAAGTCTACCGAGTGTTGTTCACATGATGCAATCACGTCTGATGTAGGGACTCATCTGCAGTTGATGCCATAAAGCCCCTAGGAAGGGTTAATTTCATGGCAGTTACAAATTCTTTGTAGTACCTCATCGCAGCTTAATTATTCATTTGGCTGTCACACAGCACCAAAAGTGTCCTGACATGAAGAGTGCTACTCAGGGCACACTTTTTTTCCCTCACAGATAATTCAGCATATGGTGCCACTTTAGAATAGGAAATTAGGAAATTAAGAAATAGGCCTTCTTTTGGACAAAAGACCCATTTTCTTACTCAAGGGAAGCTCTTTATTGTTCCTAAACACAGCCCATAGCACAAAAAGTAGACCAGTTATTTTACTGCAACACCTTCAGGCTCACCAGGGAAGTTGTAAGACAAGTGAAGGAAACAAATATACACAATATATCTTACAGAACCTGCAGTTATGTAGATTTGCTGCCCAATGGCCATTTGAAGTTTTGGAACTAGAGGGGTATAGTTTCTTTTCACAAGTCGGGGTATCAGCTGGAATTGCCATGCTGGCCTTTGCACTGGCAGTTTTGTGCCATAGCGAGTAACCTATGAGAGATGGACTCCAAACTGCTTTCTCAGCTCTAATTTTTCCACTTAAGCTCAAGATGCACTGACAAAACGATGGGAAAACTTGCAAGAGTGATGTCAGGCTCTGACTACTCTGTGGATTCGTAAAGATTTTTGAAGTTTATATAGAATCATAGAATAGTTAGGGTTGGAAAGGACATTAAGATCACCTAGTTCCAACCCCCCTGCCACAGGCATATAGAACTAACACTTTTGAAGCTGACAAAATACTGAATTTTTGAGGAAAACAAAGATTTAAATCTTCTATTTAGAGAGTTTCGCACCTTTCAATTTCTCCTTTTCATCACAAATTGGGGTAGCTCACTATGTGATTGCTATAATAGACACATGGTTCAAGTTGTATATTAATACCTTAGTCATATGTCAGTTGTTTTCCTGCCACTGAAATCATGCTACCCAGCCACATACAACTAGCTCTGCTTCCTGCCAAAGCAAAGGAGGTTGTGTCCCAAGAACTCAAGCTACTCTCGTGTAACTGGAAAATTAAAGCCCACACAGGAGCAGTTGTTCTGGAAGGAGCTGTAGCCCATGGGGAACCCATGCTGGAGCATTCTGTTCCTGAAGGACTGTACTCCATGAAGAATGACCCAAGTCAGAGCAGCTCACAAAGGACTGTAACACCTGGAAGCAGCCCCACACTGCAGCAGGGGAACACTGTGAGCAGTGAAGACTGGCAGAGAGGAATTCTTATGGACTGTCCACAGCTCCCATTTCCCCATCCTCCCTGTGCTACTCAGAGTGAGCAAGAAGGTGCACAAGTCAGGAATAAAAGAGTAAAGTTGAACCTGGGAAGAAGGCTGGACAGAAGGCATTTTTAAGTTATGTCACCATCCTACTGTGTTTTAAACCGGCAATAAATAAATTTCTCCAAGTAGAGTCCGTTTTGCCTATGACAATAATCTGTAAACGATCTTCTGTCTTTATCTTGAACCAGAAGCTTTTGATTTTCAATCCCCCTGTCCTGTTGAGGAGGCCATGTGAGAGAGCAGCTGAGTACATGTCTGGCAACCAGCCATGGCCAATCCACCACACCAGGTTTGGACTCCATGAAAGGACTTGAAGATGAGCACAGGAAGGGAAAAAAGAATAAAGGGGAAAAAAAAAAAAAAAGAAAAAAAGGATGAGAAAGGTCCAATGCTTTTAACTGCTTTACTAGGAATGAATATTCACAGTATATTTGGGTGAACCCTAAAGAGCCACTCAAAATAGAGACCCAAGTCTGTATTTCCATGAAAACCATATGCCCATATGCCAAAACAAGCTCATTTGAAAAATCTTACCTCATATGTGGAAACATATCTATCTTTTAAGGGAAGGAGGAGAAAAGAAATAAGTGAAATATTTGCATGCCAATAATCCTTTATTAATTGCAACATGACATACATATTGGGAGGTAATCATATTGCTTACAGACTTTGCATTTACTGCAAAAATTCCTAAATTCTGAGAATAATTACCATCACAAAAGACTACTGACTTCAGATGTTTACACGGAAACAAATATATGATGGGTTCGAACTGCACACTGGGCTCTTGTTAGGCAGAACACATTTTTTTCAGTGGAATAATCAGCACATATTCCAATAGCTCTCTTTCTACCTATTATTATTTCAAAACAAGACACCTGTTTCTTTGCACAAGCTAAGTAAGCAGGTCTTTGCCAAGATTCCTGTCTATTGCACATTTATGAAAGCAAACATGAATGCCACTGGATCCCAGTAGGAAGTCTCGCAGGCCTGACACATTCAGTGCCAAAACAACGGCTCTAATTAGTGAGCAGTTCTGGTCAGACAATAAAGGCCTTAACCTTCTGTGGGAAATAATGAGCTAGAAAATGTTTGAAGCCCCCAAATAAGCTTTAGAGAACAAGGAGGGTGCAGAGAACTGCTAAAGGGACTAAACTGACAGACACAGGTGACCGAACAGTGAACTGTGTACTTGGCAATCAGCAGCCAAATGCTTGCTATACATAGGCATCATTCAGTCTTTTGATTTCCCTACTTTGTCTGGATTATCAACAGAATTCAAAGGATTATATTGGTCATTACAACTATTTAAAACAAAGCAAGGAATTTGTTGAAATAGTTCAGAGAACCTCCAAACTTAAGCAATTACTTCTATTCAAAGACAATGCTTCTTGAGGATACTGTGTAAAATTTTATCTTAACAGAATAATTAAAAACTCACTAGCAGTATCAGCCTTTGAGAAGTAGAATCATTCAGCACCATCTGTAGTTTAAGACTAATATCAAGTCACATACTTTTATCAATTTCTAAAGGAAATCTTTCTAAAGAATAAACCTACACAGAAAGTCCTTTCATATTGAAGACTGGGGCTGATTGAAGAATAAGGTGGACTGAAGAATGGGGTTGATTGAAGAATAGGGTTGTAAATAAGTAAGCTCAAGAACCTTGGGCTTTCTTAGCAACTATAGAGAAAACAAAAATTACTAAGATAAGCTTTGCCAGAACCACCTGGTAGTTACTGATATAACAATGATCCTAAAACAAAGTGATGACAAAATAACCACTGGGGGTCCGAAAGCCCACTACCACATTTTTGTATGCATACAGGAGGCATTGTCTAAGAAGTATGATGTAATGTATGTAATCTAATGAATATGTATATTTAAGGACAATATAATCACAGCCTGGTTGATGCCTGGGAGAGACACACTTGGAGGAGCTATTCCCCATGTTTTCTGGCGCTGCAATAAAGAATACCTGCTTGTCAACTTAAAACTTTGTTGGCGAGTTCCTGGAGTTTTCTCCAAATCAATATTAAACACTGCATAAGCACTTATACATACATGTGAGACTTACATCTAGATTTTGTTATCTAAGTTATCTTGGATAGCTTTACTTCTTTCCTCACATTGCTACTTTACAGTTCTGACAATCACAAAAAGCTCATTTTAAAATACTTTATCTATAATTACATGAAGTGCTTAAAAGAGCTTAGACTTCTTAAAAGTTTACGGTGGCAAAAAAATAACAATCTCAATCAAGCAATCATATGTTAAGTGTGAATGTGATGAGATGTGCAAAGCTTGAACAGAAAAAAAAAATCCAAACACTGTATTCATATGCGGCCTACACAATATGTATGACAAATATGTATGAAGACATTCCTAAAACAGACAAATTGCTCCTGTTAAAACTTTTCAAAAGACTTCTAAAAATACAATTTTTTTAAATAAAATGCAAATTCTAAAAATTAAATATTAAAAGGATAAACAGAAACTAAAAAAAAGCAGGCATTCAAATTTGTATTATACAGATACCCAAATCGCAGTTTTCCTTTTGATAAGAAAATGTTTGGTCTTTGTGATGTATGTTTTATTTTCAGTGTCAAGTTGATGTTAATTTTAACTACTTGCTTTCCCTAAGTATCCTTCATTCTTGAAGAGATGTAAGAAAATTATCTGGGGGGAAAAAACAACCAAAACAAACATCACAAGCAAAAACCCAACAAATACTATTTCAACCCAAAACAAACATCACAAGCAAAAAACCAACAAATACTATTTCAAGCTAATTCTTGAAGAGACATAAGGAAATTATTTATTTATGAAAAAACATTAATAAT